TCAGCCTCTCTGCTCTGGATTTGCATTTCCTGATGCTTTCTGACTAACCCAAAGATTATTTTTATTTATGAGTGCATGTTCCTGGTAGGGACTCTGAGTTTCTTCTGGTGAGCCCTGAAGCCATCCTTACGGGCAGGTTCAGAAAAGCAACTAAAAGCAGGAGGAGAGTGGTTCCAGGAGGCTGGACCAGCAGACCAGAGACCCATGTGAAGTCCTCAAGTCAACCACAGGCTCCTGGGGTCCCTCTCACAACCAGCTTGAGAGACCTAAACCAGTTTCTGTGAATTTAGGACTCTTGGTGTCATGAGGAGCCGTGAGCATACATATCCCAGCGCCTCACTAATGCCCAAAAGCAGTTTTGTTAGTGGATTGATGTGGGATTGTGGCCTTCCCTACCTGCCAGCTCGTTCCATACCATCAGAGAGGATAGGATGGATTGTGGAAACTGGTAGGACACTCCCAGGGGCTGAGGGAGCTGTCTGGAGCAGGAGCAGTGCAGGACACATGCACCACGGTGCCTGTGCTCCCTTTGCTCTCCTGTGAGTCCAAGAAGCCCAAGCTTTACACCACAGCCCATCAAACAGCTTTCTCCAGCATGACATTCCTGTAGGAAAACACCCAGCAGCCCTAACAAACAGTGCTTTGTGGGCCTGGGAAGTCTAAGAGATAACATCGTGTGGTGGCCAGCTCATGTTTCTCCCTGACGCTTTATGTTACTCCCAAGGCTGCTGCCAATCCAGCATTTCTGCCTGGCCCATCCCCCTGGCACGGGATACACACACAGACAGCAGGGTTGCATTGGACCCCTCACCCCAGGCAGGATCCTAGGGAGTGTTTCCATCTCAGAGATCTCACCAGTGCCCAAGCCCCATCACCTCCTTTCAGCATGGCTGATGGAGTTCTGGAGATCTGGAAGTCCTGTTGCCCCAGGCAGATTTCAGTGGGATGACTGATGAAAACAGACAAGGTTTGTTAGAACCAGGTTAGAACATGCTTGGAAAAACTTTCTCTTACTCCTAGGTCACTTAGCTTAAGGTTTTTGGGGGTTTTGCCATGTTTCTCTACTGTTCCAGCAAAAACTGTTGTGTTTGGATGAGCATAAGTCCCTACTGCTACAATCACATCCTAATATTCTCTGATACCAACAAACCCAGTCTCAGTCTTAAAGGTCTTAGATCCATGAAGAGAAAAACCTACAAACACCAGATACTGCTGTTATTAACAGTGATGATAATAATAATAGCCCTAAAAACCCCACTAGTATTTCACATTTGCACATTGTCCAATCTTTACCCAAATCCAGAATTTTTCATGTCCTTTCCACACACTACAAGAAGTCTGACCACAGCGGATAAGGGAGAACCTAATAAAAATAAAGTACAACAATAGCAGTGATCAGCCCAGAGAGGAGAAAGAGATATTACTCTTTCCCTTCACAAAGCACTTCTCCACCCTTGGAGAAGAGGGACCAATGTCACAGCTCCCTCATCAAAGAGACTCAGAGAAAGCCAAAACAATGCATGGCCAGCTTCCATTTTCTATAAAAGTACAGAAATGTGGTGCAGACAATGCCAGGCTCCTGTCACGGCTCCATGTGTCTTTGGGAGGATATTTGACCTCCAAGGATAAGAGTGGCCGGAAAGTCAGGGAGTGGGATTTCCTGTGCTTTAAAGTACAACATGTCTTCACCCACCTTGATGGCTTTCAGCACTGATTTGTGCTGGCCTCCCTCAGTCCCCTTGGGACCTCCTGGCCTGGGCCAGATCAAGGTGCCAGGCTTTAGCCATGCAGTTTAGCTTCCTTGCTCCAGCAGCAGCAGCAGAATGAATTTGAGCCTGGCTTAGCTCCTGGAGTCTGTATCTCGTTCCACACCATGCTCATGTGCAAGGCTCAGCTTTTGAGTGACCCATGCAGAGACACTGCCCTGCACCAGCAAAAGGCGGGATGATGGTCTTGAAATTGGCTTTGATTAGGCTGAGTCCAAGGTGCCACCTGCACAGGCACACATTGCATGGTGATGCTTGCATCTTGCCTCCCTTCCTATGCTCCTCTGGCTGGAGGAGGAGGCAGCAGCCACGCCTGCTGGTAGATAAGGGGCAGATCAGAACCCTCTAATCAGTGCAGGGAGAAGACAACATCTGGCTGAGGCTGCAGGCTGTGGGAGCTCTGAAGGATGCTCCAAGGAGAGAGAGAACCTAGAGGAAGCCCGCCCACAGCTTCATCTCTCATGTCTTTGGTTCTATCCACATTTCAGGCGATGTGCTCTTAGCCCTCCTTCACCTTTCACAAGCCCAGTTGCCTCTTGATTTAGCAGATTCATTAGAAAGTCTCCAACCCCTTAGGAATGTGCCCTTCCCCCTTGCAGTCTTCCAGTTCAAATTCAATTAATATCCGGCAATTAACGCTGAATTAAAAGCTTTGGCATGAGGCTCCATCCTGGTTTCACTTGGCCAGCACCACACCACGCCCTCACTGTGACCAACACAAGGCCGAGCACAGCCATGACCTGAAAGCAACGGAGAGAGCCAAGCTAAGGGCAAATAGGAAAATAGCAGGAATAAACAAAGAAAAGGGAGCCCAGCATGATAAGGACCTGCTGACTTGGCAGGTGTATGCACTGCTTCCAGTTTCACAGCCTCTTTGGGACACAGGCACCCTGGAAGAGAGGACAGCCTTCCAGGTTAGCTTATCATTTGGGGAGCCCAGCTGACCCCATCAGTACTTCATTAACCACCATGAGATGAAGAATTCAGAGCTGGTCCTGCTTCACCCACGAAGCCAGACTCCTCTGCCACTGCCATGGAGTCTGCAGCTCTGGCAGCCACCTTCAGTTGCACCAGATGAGCTCCTCACAGAGCCAATCCCAGAGGTTTATTTTTTGGACACAATTTAGGAAGGAGAAATAAAAAACAGGGTGACATTAGCTGGATGCCTGGTTCCTCCTGGTGATCATCCTGGTGATGCCTGATTCCTCCTAAAACAGCTGGGGCTGGGGACCAGGTCTGAGCTCCATGGGCCAAACCTGGTGACACATTCCTGCTGGAGTAACCTGGATTTCAGTACATTATGACATGGACCTGGGGCTGTAAGAGAAAGGAAGCTAGAAATATGCAGAAACACATATAGAACTAATATGCAGAAACACTCCCAGCTATCTTCAGCTGTGGGACACAAAGTGATTGGATGGTGCAGAGTAAACAGAGCAGAGTGGAGGTTTTAAAGAGCCCAAGTTCTCTTTCCCAGGTATCTTATGCTAATGCACAAAGAGATCCAGGAGATAGGAACAGTTTGAGGACTGTAAAAGGAAACCAGCAGACAGCTATTAACAGAGGAAAAATTCACAGGTACCCAAGCTTGGGCACAGGGATGGGTTTTATTACACTCAGAGGGGTTGGCAGACCACCAAGTTTCTATTCTAATGTAGATATGAATTTATACCTCTTATAGGCATGCATAGGGATTTCAGTATCAACCACAAGAGAGACAAGAAACAAGGGGGAGCTTAACATACTAGCTACTAAAATGCTTTAAGAGTCCTTTCTAGAAATGTCTCTGAGCTGGGTGTGTTACTGTGACAGAAAACAGGCTGAAAGTTGTACAGCTGAGCCCAAAACATGCTGGGTTCCTCCATGCAGCCAAGTACTTCACCAGCATCCCCATAAATGCATCCCTCTGACATCCTACTGACAGTTCTGATAAGATCAGTGAGAAAACTGTCTCTGCCCTCACCTCAGGGTGAAACACACAGAGAAAAATACCACAAGTGTTTCTTCCAACACGAGGAATAAATATGGATACGTAAGGAATCTAGGGCAGCCCTGCTGATGATACAACAAGCCCTGCAGCAGATAGTCAGCCTCCAGAGGGGAAATCCCAGGTGTCAAGGATGACTCCAAAGTATTCCCTGGGGATTACACACACTTTAGCCTAGATTCAGTGAAGACAAACCCTTGGAGGAAGCTCCACTGCCTGCCCATGGCTGTCATGGCAGCCCTTGGCACATGCCAAGCACACTCAGCAGTTCCCTTACAGGAAGTGCCACTGAGGACACTGAGGAATTTCTTCCTTTAGGCCAGCAATAAGTATTTCAAAGCCAAACCTTTGAATTCTGGCAACCATATCATGGGATAAGCAGGGTCTGACGCAGGCACAGAAGTGCTCCTGAATTTTACAAGAGACTTAAAAAAAATTTAGGACTTTGCTTTGGCTTCCCATCAGCTTACACACGGAGCAGAGCTGAAGAGCTTGGATACCAAAACAAAACATTCCTTGAGATCTTATTAGATCTTTTTTTCAGGTTTTGTTTCTTTTCCCTTGCAGTTCTGCTGTCAGAACAGTGCCTGGATCTCTCTCACATCTTCTCCCACATTCTAATTCACATTGGAAAGAAGACAAAAATAACCTATGTTGATCCTGTCTGCTTTTCACTAACCATTCACCTCAGTATATTTTCCTTCATCCTTGAGCTGCTAGTGGAACAACATTCAGTTATCCCATTTTTCTTTATGTGGACAATCCCCTTGTAAAGATACTTTAACAGCTGGTGTAGAGCTTAAAATTACCACATAACAAAAGCTAGTGGCACTCTAGGCATGAAAAATTACTTGGGACACACAGCCATGAGCACATGGGCACAGGGATCCAGGACAGACCATGGAGGCAAAGGCCACCTCAGTCCCTGTTTAACCTTAGGCACGACAGTGCTGCTAGAAAAAGATGTGCTGGAATGTCACAAAGTTGGGGTGTGCCTGGAATGGAAGAGCAAGAGGGAGAGGTGGAAGTAGATTTTGAAAAAGCATTGTGGGATGTGTCACCTTCAGCCTAGGTCAGAGCAGTGAGAGGTGACTGAGAGCAGAGAGGAAACACCCTTGTACTCACCTGACTGCTCCATCTTCTTGGAGACCCCAGCTTGGAGGCAGGGAGGGCAGGTTGCACATGGATAAATCACCTGAGAGCCTGTTCCATAACCACTGACCCTGTCTCTTGTGCTTCTGCTGCAGTTGCCTGGCCTGTGAAGCAACATGAGTCACAAGGGATCCCTCAGCAGCAACCCCAGCTCATCAAAGTAAGGACCTTCCTGCACCACTCCTTCCTACCGTTCAGGGGATACTCCAAGCAGTCCCACTCATCCCCAAAGTCCCTGATGTTTGTTTCACCCTTCCTGGGCACCTCATAAGCTGGCACTGCCTCACACATCACCTGCCCTGTGCACTGGGGTTTGATAGTGGCACATTAGGTGGAGAGAGCAGAGGGACACCAGGAGCCTCTCCACCTGCAGCCTCAGGCTACAGCAGCCCATGGCAACTTCCTAATGGAGCCAGAGCCACCAGCTCTCTCCCTCCTTCCTGCTCCGGGTATGAGCACCTGAACCACTGCCTGCCCTCAGGGGAACACAGTGACAGAGCATAAAGCAGCCCCTGGGCACCCATGGGCTCACTGCTCTGTGCAGGACAGCCCGACCACAGCGCCTCAGATCCTGCTTGGATCTTCCCCTGCCAGAGAAAACACTGTTAACTCCTGGGTGCTCATTCCTACCCACAACCCAGGCACAGGGGGTGGCCCTACCTGTGGCACTTAAAACTCAGCTGTTTACACACAATTCCACCCTCCCACATTCTTACATGGGATATGTTCTATATCCAAGCACTGCCTTCAAGGGCTACATCTCCAACATGTCTACTGGGGAAGGATTGTCACCTTGGCTCTTGCACTGCCTCAGGTTCAGGTGGGCTCAGGAATAACATGGAGGGGGTCTCCCTGTAACAACCCCACTTATGGCACACTGGGAACCACTGTCCTTAACCCAGCCTCTGGGTTTGCTGTCCTTCCAGGGGACATTGTGAAGGTAACTCTAGTGGGGACAGGCCTGGCTGGGCTGCTCCGTGTCCTGTTTCCACTGCTGGGTTCAGTGACATGTGCCTGTGGTGTGGATAACGGGTAGGGTTGCACAGGGAGCCATCAGCACAGCCCACAAGGAAATGCTTTGCACAGAGGGGAAGAGCTGGTCCCTCTGGGCAACTGCAGAGCTGCTGTGTGAAAACTGATGTTAAAAATATTTGGGAGATGATGGTTGATTTGCACTTTCTTTCTTTTCCAGTGGCAGCATGGGCAAAGCCGAGGGAGTCTCCAAGCTGAGTGCAAAGGACCTGTACGGTGAGTCGTGCCTGCAAACATATCCGAAGTTTCCCATGGCAAAGGCACCTCTGGAAAGCTGGATGTGGATGTTAGGGAGCTTTAGGCTGGAACTCAGTCAAAGCCACATGAATCCAGAGTTCCGTACACAACAGGCTGGCCTGACCTGGCAGCAAAAACACACCTCACATCTGTGCCAACACCTTCCATGCTGGGGACAGTTGGGATTTTGTGGGAACAGAATGTTGTTTCCCCTACCCAGATCCTCCCTAGGCTGTTAGCAAGATCACCTGATAAAGGGCCTCACAAAAGAAAAACTGTCCTCAGCAGGTTAATGATTATACTCTTCTAACTACTCAGTGAACCATGAAAACTCTGTGCCCTTTGGCTCTCTGGAAGTGCAGGGAATGGGCAGGATGGGTGTTTGTGCACAGTCCGAGAGGCAGCTTGTTTGGGTTGAGCACATTTAGGTATCAATACCAGTTATTCCTGATCTTAGCAGACCCAAATACCCCAGGTGAAAATGTGGTCTCTGGGGTGGGCAGAGCAAGCATAAGTCATGTGAGAAATCACCTCCCTCAGTTATTTCCTGGGTAAGAAGTTGGGGGTTGTCTGGTGTAACAGAAGCAGCTTTTGGGGAGTCTGAGCCTGCCAGCTCTCCCACCTGAGAGCTGTAGATTTACCTGGTTGATATTTTATTGGGAAGGCACAGGCTGTGTGTCCTTCTCCTTGAAGATCTTCTATTTGATCAGTCCTTGGCAGCTGCCAAGGTGGTTTATTCGTCCCTGGGAAGTGACTCTGTTTGCCCAAGTATTTTGGCTGGAGGTTTATCCATGTGGAGCAGTGTCCAGAGAGACCAACCTCACCTGGGGAGAAGTGGGATAGCAGGGACTGTACTTAGTGCTAAACAAGGCCATTGTTCATGTCAATTACCTTCCAAGAAATGAAACATGAGGGTAATGCCAGAGCAGAAATTTGGGCTGTCTGTGGCCTGGAAGCTGCAGGGTGGGCAGGTGCCAAGGAGAGGTTTGAACTGTGTCAGTCACTCCTGGAGATGTAAGGACACATGATAAAGAAGCAGGAGGATGAGGTGTGGAAATGTTGGGTGCATACAGGGCTGCTAATGCAGATAAACTCCTCCTGCCTCCAAGGCAGTGCACATTCCTTTGGCTGTGCACTGACACTGCAGCACATCAGGGGCAGAAGGGCTGTAGTTGCCAGGTAAACAGCCCTACAGAGATGTGTAAAAATGAACTTGGGAGCTCACAACGGTATTAAAGCCAAGCAGATTTGTAGGCTGGCACCCATGGGTGCAGGCAGCCCAGGGTTCCAGCCATCAGAACTCCAGAGGAGGATCTAATGGTGCTATGGCATAGGGAGCACCCCTCAATCCTGTGCCACAAAAGCCAGTGCAGGGAAAGGCCGACAGACTGCCTCAGAAACAAACACAGCTCTCAAATAAGCACTTTTCAACACTGGATTTCATCTTCTGCATTTTCCTGTATGAACACACCTCAAAAGCAAATTCACCAGGGCTTAGACCTCTCTGACCAAATTCCAGCAAACCTGAAATGAAGATTGTATGTTCCTGGGCCAAATCCTCAGGAGGAGTAAAGCAGCTACCTGCTATTTCCCTGCCAGTGCTGAAATGCAGAACAAGCTCTGTAGGCATTCCCTGCACAAATCAGTGCCTCTTGGCCAGCCCAGCTCCTGGCATGAGCACATCCAGAGGGATTTTGCTTGGCAGCACTTGAAACCCACCCACTAATTCAGCAAAGGACATTCAGCATGGGTAAACCAATATTTAAATGTCTTGGCCCCTTTCCCACTTGGATCCTCCCTCCCCCAGCATTAATTTCTGCTGTGAGCTGGCACATTTGGGGGTAGAGGGCAAGCAAGAACTAAAATTCCAGGGAGAATTAAGTTTCATAATGAAACAAATCACACCAAGCCGAGCTGGCCTTGATTATGTGATTACAACACTGCTGAGGGACATTTGGAACTGACAAGACTTTTCACATTTCCATTTTCCTCCAGTGCAATCAGGCTGGACCCTCAGCCTGTGTACACTGCCAGACCTCCAAGAAGCGAGTGCAGTGACTCCCAAATTCCCATCACACAGGCATCCACTCATTAAAAGCTCACTGGGTTATGATGGCTCCAATGCACACAGGTGTCTAAATATTATTTCTAGGTGAACAAGGCCTTGGGTTTAGCTTTCTAAAGATGCTTTTTCTACAGAAATACTGGCCTAACATGACAGGGGTGCCAACTGTGAGTACGTAAGTGCTACCTGAGGGCCAAGGTGTCCCCAGTATCAACAGGGACTTACTGGGAATATTAAACCCACCTCAGGGGGGACCCTGAAGAGGGATATTTAAAATTGTCATGGTGAGGCTGGAACACAGCAGCAGCTTCAGGCTGTGCACAGAAGGCACCTGGATGGTGAAGGTGGAGTTTCACTCTGGTGGGGCTCCAGGGCATAGTGTCAAGCTCCTCACAGGACACAGCCTCATCACACGGCTGTTGATGGATGGGGAAGGCTCTGGTGTCACACTTGGCCTGCTGAAATTGCTTTGATCACCAAATATATTGCCTTCCACTGTGTATTCTCCACGGTGGTGAGCACAGAGGGATGTGGAGAGATGAACAAAGGGAATTCTACAATGAAACTGGCTTAAAACCCCAAGATACCCTCCCCTGGCTCTGTCCCTACCAGAGTTTTATAGGCTTTCCAGCTGCTCTGCCATCCTCAGTGGAGTTTCCTGGCTGTCATGGGAGCAGGACACTCATCTTTTCCTCCTCGCTTAGTACCACAGCACCACATTCATTCAGCTCCACATTCTGGAGGGGTATGTGGCTGCATGGAGCAGTCCTCCCTCAGCTGGCAGCAGGGAACGGCTGGCCCCCTCTCAGGTTGCCACCTCTCTCCCCACACAGCCACCAGCTGAATAAATGTTAATGCACACCATAAATAAATTAGGCTGCTTCTCTGCTTACGGGCGTCTGTTCCGAGCCCAGATGAAAGCCTGTGGGGGGAAACCAGGCTCCAACAGAACCCATGGGAAGGACTGGGCAGGAAGCATTTCTGCACAGCACTTCCCACAGCAGGAAAGCTGCTGCCACCCCTTTCTGGGGTGACTCCATGTGGGCTTCTGCAGGTGTTCCCCTCAGCTGCTTCCCGAGCTGGCAAACAGCACTGGCTGGCTCTCCTGATGGATTAGGCAGTGTAGCAGGGGAAGTTGAGGGCAGTTTGATGATTGCAGTGATTTTTTTGTAGGGCTGTGGGGAGGAGCAGCTCATTTCTGTTTGGCTGCTGTCTGTCCCTGCAGTGCTCAGCCTCCTTCCAGCCCCCCATGCCAAGCCTGTGAGACCCAGCCAGCTGGTTCCAACCTGCCCACCCATCCTCGATGTGCTCATTTCTGGGAAAAAACCAGACTTGATAAAGGGGCTGGAAAAGGGGTTTTGGAGCAATGAGTTAGGCTGGAGAAGTGCAGTGCTGACACCAATCACTTGACACTGCACACCCGTAACCCAAGCCAGGCTGCAGCGCTGTAACAGGACACGAGGTACTATCACAAAGAGAAGAGCCACTTCCTGCCCAGCGTGTCCCTAGACAGGGATCATCTCCCTGGGGAGCCACAGGCAGAGAGGCTCTGCTGGTGCCAGCATCACCCCTGAGCCACAGGCAGCTGCTTGGTGCTGGCCAGGCAGAACACACCAATGGAGAAGGAGTAAATTATGTTTAATGGTCATAAGCCAGCTCCTGGGGGTCTCCACAGACCTCCCTTGTATCCCAGTGGGGCCTCCAGCCCCAGCCACATGGAGAGGTCTCTGAGATGAGACCCTCCAGCCCTGAGCACAGTGCCCAGACTGTAATTCCCTGCTGCTGGCTCTCCCACACTCTGCCCAAACCATGAGCTTGTTCACAGTTCCAGCTGGAAGCCACATGGCTGTCACATCATTATTGACAGGAGCATGGAGGGACCGTTCCTTGCCCACAACCTTTAGAGAGGATTTGTGCAGGATTTAACACATACTGGTATTGTCTGCAAGAGACAACCCTGACAGGAACAGTGGCTAAACCCAAGCCTACTCAGCCACACTGCTGGGTCAAGAGGACCGTGTCCATGCCTAAATCCACAGCGATTTGGGCAACATCTGAACACTGTCGCTCACTGTCATGTCTTCAAAGGTTTCATCATACTGGAGAAAAAGCCTGAGGTTCAGCCTTCTTGCTGAATTCCTCATGTCCTCTGCTGCCAGCCCTGAATAACTCCCTTGTCCTCCCCCACTTCTCCCACAGTGCCATTCCAGCTTCCTTCTTCACATCCCCTTTCCCACCTGAGATTCCAGCTTCAGATTACCCTGCTCCCCTTTGATACTGAGTGTGTGGGTGACCTTTTTATTCAAGGCCTTGGACATTTAATGCACCAACTGGAAACAGGGATGGAAGAAAAACTGGAAGCCAACAATCCTGTTGGTTCCTGCAGAACAAGCCCCAGTGATGGGTGAGACAGGGAACACATTGGCTCAGTTCAGCCCTGACTGGAGCTGCTGGGAAGAGCAGACACTGCTCCAGGTGCTGCTGGTCAGGAGTTTGGGATGGCAGTTAGTGACAGAGTTGGTGTGGAGAGGGATCTCCCACCTCTGATGCTGCTCAGCATCTCCAGTGACCCTTTTTCTTTGCCACCTTGAAACTGCTGAGCACAAGTTCTGTCCTTGTGTGGAGTAACTGCTTAGAGCTCACACAGAGGAACCTGTTCCTAAAAGGAATTGGGGTTTTGGATATGCCCAAGTAGTTTGGGGATCAAAAGTTGTGGTAGTTCATAAAAATAACACCAAAAAAAAGGGGGGAACTTTTCATTATGCATTTTTTTCTCCCCCCAATCTTACTATGTTCTGACATTCAAAAAATTTCATTACCAGCTACAGAAAGTTGAGAAAACACTACTTTGGGTTTTCTGGTGAAAATTGGCAGGTTTCTTCCAGGTCTGGTTGTAAAGGTAAAAGGAAATATC